AATACCGCGAATCGAATCCGAGCCTCCTGTATCCTAGTCACTAGACCATATCGAAGAACTGACGAATTTTACCAGCATGGCAAAAGTTTGGTGAAAATTAAGCTTTTCATTGAAAAAGAAAACTCGGTCCGATACCGAGACGTCTTGGATGGGACTTAGTAGATTAATACATTTTTGAAACAATGCAGAAAGTTTGAAAAATTTATAATTATTTCTCAATTAAAAAAAATCAATACCAGCATTGAACCCAAGCCTTCTGGGTTAAAGCCAAGTTTATCCTAGACTAGACCACATGGGACTGATAAATTTTACCATAATGGCAAAAAGTTTGATAAAAACTAAATTTCTCGTTTAAAAACAAAACTTGATCCTATACCGGAACCTCGTGTGAGGATGAGGTATCCTAGTAACTAGATTATTAACATATTTTTTAAACCAAGCAGAAGTTTTGAAAAAATATTTTGCAGTAAGAAAATAGGTATTTATGACACAAGGATGAAAAATGCAATTTTTCGTATGATTACGGAAAATTGCCAGACGAGGCGAAACCGAGTCTGACAACCGTATGAATACGAAAAACATTTTAGTCCAGATCTTTCAATGCAATCGAATAAAAATATATTTTCCGATACCGGGAATCGAACCCGAGCCTCCTGGGTGAAAGCCAGGTATCCTAGCCACTAGACCATATCGGAGTGACAAATTTTACTAACCGGGCATAAAGTTTGGTGCAAAACAAATTGTATCATTTAAAAGCAAGACTAGGTATCCTATTCACTAGATCATTAACATATTTTTGAAATAAGACAGAAAGTTTAAGAAACATAATTTTTCAATTAAAAAAGAACACAATTTCCAATACCGCGAATCGAACCCGAGCTCCTGTATACTAGTCACTAGACCATATCGATCTATGGATTGAACCCAAGCCTCCTGGGTTAAAGCCAAATTTATCCTAGCCACTAGACCACATTGGACTGATAAATTTTACTATCAGGGCAAAAAATTTGCTAAAAAGTCAGTTTCTCATTTAAAAACAAAAGTTGATTCGATTACCGGAACCTCTTGAGTAAGGATCAGGTATCTTAGTAACTAGATTATTAATATATTTTTGAAACAAGGCGGAAGTTTAAAAAAATATATTTTTCAGAAAAAAAAATATATTTTCCGATACCGGGAATCGAACCCGAGCCTCCTGGGTGAGAGCCAGGTATCCTAGCCATTAGACCATATCGGACTGATATATTCTACGAACAGCGCATAAAATTTGTTAATTAAATTTTTCATCTAAAAACAAAAGTTGGTTGCATACTGGGGCCTCTTGAGTGGGAACCAGATCTAGTCACTAGACCATTAATATATTGAAAAAATTATAATTTTTCAGTAAAAAAAAATACATTTTTCGATACCGGGACTCGAACCCAAGCCTCCTGGGTGAAAGCCAAAAAAAAAAATCAAATTTTAAAAATATTTATTTTACAATTAAAATGGAAAGAGTATATTTCCCTCGACGGACACCCAGGCCGTTGCCGACCTAGCATCTCCGCATGTGAGAACAATGGGGCGGAGCAAAATCGGTCCGGGCTTAAAAATAACAATAAACAATAAATACAACTAAATTAAATAATTTAAATTGTATAATAACATCAATGAATAGAATTAGTATCCTAGCCACTAGACGATATCGAACTGATAAATATTATCAATAGGATATAAAGTTTATCAAACTTAATAAAATTTCTCATTTAAAAACAAAAGCTGGTATGACACTGGGATCTCTCGAGTGGCAGCCGTGTATCCTAATGACTAGACTATTTGCATATATTTGAGACAAGGCAAAAAGTGAAAAATTGTAATTTTTCAGTAAAAAAAATATATGTATTTTCCCATACCGGAAATCACCCCAGCCTTCTGGCCGGGCCAGGTATCATAACCACTAGACCACCACGGACTGATGAATATTATCTACCGGGCGAGAAGTTTGGTAAAAATTAAACTTCATTTAAATGAATAGTTGTTCCGATACCGGGACGTCTTAAGTGGGAGCCATGTTAGTCACTATATTATTAATATACCGGCTGACCACAGGACATTGTACGCCCCCCAAATATTCAGCATTTTTAAAGATATGTCTGAAATTTGGCAATTGTTAATAAGATATAAAAACACGTTTTGATGCTATTTTCAAGATTTTTGTTCTTCCGGTTTTACCGGAAGTGACACCAACTTTTCTTTCCTAAATGAAAAATGGCTGACTTATAATCGATTTTCTCTTTAAGCAAAGATAGCCATGACATTGTTATTTCAAGTAACAAATTTCACGATACAAGCTGTGGAACAATTGGGAAACAGGCTAAAGTAAATAATGTACTCAAAATCGCTGCCACTTCTTGTATTATATTGAATAAATGTTCTATAAAAATGAAATATATTAAAACGTCTTGACAAATGTCGTTTATTTCAATGCGAGCACCCGTTATTTTGCCTTTTATTTTGAGGATCTTTAAGAACAGGCTTTTTAGTTAAAATACAGATTAGGTAATATTAAAAAATAAAATTGGTACAATTATTATTTATTCATTAAATTTTGTAAATATTTAATGATTAATGAAATTTCATTTTGGAAGGATTTTTTTTATTTAATATTTTTAAAAAATTCTAACATTGGAAATTAAATTTCAAAAATAGGTAGTAAAACAGCGAGTAATTATCATAATTTTAATTAAATTTATATTATACAAAATGAAAGAAAATTCTTGGATTACATTTTGATTTTATTTATTTTTATTAAATAAATAACATACTTACATAAATTACCAGAAGTGGCACCGGTATTGAGTACAGAATTTACTTTAATGTGTTTCGAATTGTTTCACAGCTGGCCTCGCGAAATTTGTACTTAAAATATTTATTTCATGCCTATTATTGTATAGAAAGAAAATGGGTCTAAAGCGGCCATTTTGTGTTCCTTTTTTAACCGTGATATTATAATTATTTCAAACTTTCTGTCTTGTTTCAAAATATGTTAATAATCTAGTGAATAGGATTCCTAATCTTTTGCTTTTAAATGGGAAGTTTGTTGTGCACCAAACTTTATGCCTTGTTAGTAAAATTTGTCACTCTGATATGGTCTAATGTGCACGCGTTACCTACTATGAAGAGAAATAGGGCATTCGATTATTCGTCGTTCGTGTCATGTCTTATTTTGTGTTGAATGTATATGAGAAAATATAGTGTATGAATTGTGTGTTGTACACGTGTGGTAAACGACGACGACAACGACAAAATGTTGTCGTTATCCGGGCACCAAGGAGACGTGTGTCCGTGTGTCGCGTTAAGAACGTTGTTATTAACTACGCTCGAGCGACCCCTCCGAAGGAAGAGCGGAAGGTAAGTTGGTTAGAGCGGGAATTACACATTACTTTTGTGTATTTACCGTTGCCGCCGATCGTTTGGTGTTAAAAGATTTCGCCCGGCCATCAAGGAGACTTATGCGTCCTCTACGACGTCAGATTAAAAGAAACGCTCGGGTTCGACTCTCGGTATCGGAAAATATCTTTTTATTTGATTGTATTGAAAAGTGATGTTTTTCGGTTTGAATATTTGGACGAAAAGGTCACTTTTTTTATAACAGGTCTTATTTTTTGTTGTGGATGCTAAGCGACTGCATTTCCCGGCCGTACAGTACTTTTCGTCCTAGGACGAAAAGATCTTTTCAGATGGTAAACAAATATGAACAAAATAATGAATACCATAAACAAATGAAACAAACTGACATGATGTTTTTATTAGATTGTGTCAAAATGATGTAAGGTCGATTACGATCAAATTTTTCAATTAAACTAAGTACTGGATCAAGTTTTGATTTTAAACGAGAAATTTACTTTTTATCAAACTTTTTACCCTGATGATAAAATTTATCAGTCTAATGTGGTTTAGTCTAGGATAAACTTGGCTTTAACCCAGGAGGCTTGGATTCAATTCTGGTATAGATTTTTTTAATTGAGAAATAATTATAAATTTTTCAAACTTTCTGCCTTGTTACAAAAATGTACTAATAATCTGGTGATTGGATCCCACCGAAAACGTCTCGGTGTCAGACCAATTTTCAGTTTTTAAATGAAAAGCTTGATTTTTCCAAACTTTTTGTCATGCTAGTAAAATTCGGGTCGAGATGGTCTGGTGATTAGGATTCATGAGGCTCTGGTTCGATTCATGGTATTGGAAATTGTGTTCTTTTTTAACTGGGAAATTATAATTATCTTTATTTCAAAAATATGTCAATCTGGTAAATAGGATACCTTGGATTTTGCTTTTAAATGAGAAATTTATTTGCACCAAACTTTATGCTCTGTTAGTGAAATATGTCACTCCGATATGGTCTAGTGGCTAGGATACCTGGCTCTCACCCAGGAGGCTCGGGTTCGATTCCCGGTATCGGAATATATATTTTTTTAATGAAAAATATATATTTTTTTTAATTCTGCCTTGTTTCAAAATTATATTAATAATCTAGTTACTAGGATACCTGTTCCCCACTCAAGCGGTATCGGATCAACTTTTGTTTTTAAACGAGAAATTTACTTTTTATCAAACTTTTTGCCCTGATGGTAAAATTTATTAGTCCAGTGTGGTCTAGTCTAGGAGATATTTGGCTTTAAAAGAGGTTTGGGTTCAATCCTGGTATAGATTTTTTTAAATTGGGAAATAATTATAAATTTTTCAAACTTTTCGCCTTATTTCAAAAATGTGTTAATAATCTAGTCACCGGCTCTCACCCAAGACGTCTCAGTATCAGACCAACTTTTGTTTTTAAATGAATAGCTTAATGTTTACTGAACTTTTTGCCATGCTAGTAAAATTCATCAGTTCGATATGATCTAGTGATTAGGATATAGGAGGCTCGGGTTTGATTCGTGAATAGGATTTCTAGCGTTTTGCTTTTAAATGGGAAATTTGTTTTGCACCAAACTTTATGCCCTGTTAGTAAAATTTGTCATTACGATATAGTCCAGTGACTAGGATACCTGGCTTTCACCCAGGAGGCTTGTGTTCGATTCCCGGAATCGGAACATATATATATTTTTTTACTGAAAATATGTTTTTTTAAAACTTTTTGCCTTGTTTCAAAAAAAATATGTTAATAGTCTAATAACTAGAATACCTGACTCTCACTCAAGAGGTTCCGGTATCAGATCAACTTATGTTTAAATGAGAAATTTAGTTTTTACCCAACTTTTTGCCGTGATGATAAAATTTATCAGTCATGTGCTCTAGTAGCTAGGTTAACTGGCTTTCGCCGAGGAGGATGGATCAATCACGGTATCGGAATTTTTTTTTACTTAAAAATTATAATTTTTTCAAACTTTCTGCCGCGTTTCAAAAATGTATTAATAAATCTAGTGACTAGGATACTTGGCTCCCGCTCAAGACGTCTCGAAATCGGCCCAACTTTTGTTTTTAAATTAGAAGCTTAATTTTTACCACATTTTTGCCATGTGGGTAAAATTCATAAATTCGATATGGTTTAATGGTATCCAAGTCAGCTGGCTCGGCTTCGATTACCGGTATTGGAAAGTGTAAATTTTTAACTGGGAAATTATAATTTTTTCAAAATTTCTGTCTTGTTGCAAAAATTTGTTAATAATTTAGTGACTAGGATACATAGCTCCCATTTAAGAGGTCCCAGTGTCAGATCATCTTTTTTTTTTTAAATGAAGCTCGATTTCCATTTCCGGTATAGGAAAATATTTTTTTTTCTAAAAAAATTAAACATTTTGAAAAATGTTCTGCCTTATTTCAAAAATGTTAATAATCTAATAAGTAGGATACCTGATTCCCACTCAAAAGGTTCCGGTATTGGATCAGCTTTTATTTTTAAATGAGAAATTTAGCTTTTACCATTAAGTTTACATTTCGGTCAATGCTTTTGCCAAACTAATGGTTAGGATACTCTTTCGCCCAGGAGGCTGGATCAATCCTGGTACGGGAATTATTTGTTATTGAAAAATTATGATTTTTTTCAAACTTTCTGCTGCGTTTTAAATATGTATTAATAATCTAGTGACTAGGATACTTGGCTCAAGACGTCTATCGACTAACTTTTGTTTTTAAATGAGAAACTTAATTTTTACCAAACTTTCTGCCATGTATGCAGGTAAAATTCATCAGTTCGGTATGGTCTGGTGGCTAGGATACAGGAGGCTCATGTTCGATTACCGGTATTGGAAAATGTATTTTTGAACTGGGAAATTACAATTTTCTCAAACTTTCTGTCTTGTTACAAAAATATGTTAATAAATTAGGGACTAGGATACCTAGCTCCCATTCAAGAGGTCCCGGTATCGGACCATTTTTTGCTTTTAAATATGAAATTTGTTTCGTACAAAATTTTATGCCCTGTTGGTATAAGTTGCCACTCCGATATGGTTTAGTGGCAAGGATACCTGGCTTTTACCCAGGAGGCTCGGGTTAGATTTCTGGTATCGGAAAATATGTATTTTTTTTACTAAAAAATTATAATTTTCTTATTGTTTCAAAAATACGTTAATATTCTAGTGAATGGGATACCTGATTTCCACTAAAAAGGTTTCGTTTTCAGATCAACTTTTAGTTGTAAATAAGAAATTTAGTTTTTGCCAAGATTTTTGTTCTATAGCTAAAATTTATCAGTCGAATGCGGTCCAGTGGCTAGAAATCCTGGCTTTCACCCAGGAGGCTTGGATTCGATCCTGGTATCGGAATTTATTTTTTTTACTGAAAAAATTATAATTTTTTCAAACTTTCTACCGTTTCAAAAATATACTAATAATCTAGATACTTGGATACATCTGGCTTCACTCAAACTTTTTATTTTTTAATGAGAAATTTAATATTCACCAAATTTTTTGCCCTGTGGATTAAACTCATCATATCGATGATGTAGTGGCTAGGATATAACAGGCCCGGCTTTGATTCCTGGTATTGGAAAACTTTTTTTCTTTAATTGGAAAATTATAATTTTCTCAAACTTTCTGTTATGTTTCAAAAATATGTTAATAATCTAGTAATTAGGATAGCTGGTTCCTATTCAACAGGCATGGGGACAATTTTTGTTTCTAAATGAGAAATTTAATTTTTACCAAACTGAGATTTTCAGTCCGATATGGTCTAGTGGTTAGGATACCTGTATATATCCAAGAAGTCACCAAATAACAAAAACATGCTATACAAATTAATCATCTAAAAAAAGAACCTGCGTTCTATATAGCACGGCAATTGCTTTGTCATAGTAAAAAGCCATACTAGTAAAACACATGCTATAAATTATAAGGCCATAACAGCGGCCGGGGCGAGTGGCTACCGCTTCACACGATATGTACCGCACGCCTAAAACACCAATATTGTAAAAATACAATGAATGCTATAAATGATATACATTAGTTAAGGCATAACCTGTAAAAATATTAATTGCCAATAAATTATTAAAATGGAAATGGAAATGGAAATGGATACCTACACAACTGAACAAAACGAAATAATAAACAACGACGCCAACGAACTACTTGACCACTACCCTATGCCGCCACGGAAACTCACAAAACTTATCACTTCACCGACCGAACTAAAACAAATTATACGATACTTACCCAACAACAAAACCCCTGGACCAGACAACATATCTAACATTATACTAAAACATGTTCCAAATAAAGTCCTCGTTTCCCTGACTCACATTATAAACAACATTTATAAATTTCATGAGCAAAATAACAGAAAGAAATCCCCAATCGCTTAAATAAAATAATACATAAAAAACGCTTAATCCCAGATAACCAGTTTGGTTTTTATTTAGGAGTGGGCACAGCACGGCTCTTGCACTGTACAGAGGCGTGCAGGACGTCACCGAAGGTTTGATACTGTTTGGCATTCAGGCCTCCTATTCATATTAAAAAACCAACTTGAACCACCCTTATATTTTACAAGTTTAATAAAACATTATATTTCTGATAGAAAATTTCGAGTGAGGGTTAACGACGCAGTGTCGTCGCTCAAGGGCGTGCCCCAAGGCACAGTCCTCTCCCTGATCATTTTCAACCTCTACCTTTTCGATTTACCCTCTCACCCCAACACAAAAACGGTATTCTACGCAGACGACATGACTATTTACTGATAATCTTTTTTACGCACAGACGGCGACACAAAAAGTACGATATAACATGGCCCAACTGACGGACTATTACAAGACATGGAAAATTAAATTAAACGAGGACAAAACAGAGACCATTACGCTGACGAAAAAAATTACAAATATAAAGACATTTAACAAACTCAAAATAAAAAAAAAGGACAACGTAAAATACTTGGGCATAACACTTGACAAAATACTATTATTTAAACGATACATAACAAATACAATAAAGGACTTAGGCAACACTAAACAGACTGTACCCCTTGATTAACCGACGTAGTATATTTTCAACTGACAATAAACTATTACTTTACAAAACAATACTCAGACCGACGATGACATACCCGTGTGCGGCATGGAGCCACATGTCGGACACGCAGTACAAAAGACTTCAGACAATACAGAATAAATTACTAAGATTACTGACAAACGCAAACAGATACACTAACATGAGACAATTACATGAACAGCACGGACTTGAATTAATACAACCTTACATCTACCCAACAGCCAAGAACTTTCTCAAAAACAATACCCAGACTTCCATACTAACTAGAGACATGACACGCCACAGACGGCACAATGACGTACAACACACACAAACACATTTACGAAAGACTACCACTTTACGACGAACAAGTATAACGAGACAGACATACGGACAACTCAAAAACAATAACGATAATTCTCCCATCACGCTACCTCACCCCCCTATACCCTTCCCCCACCCTATAAACCCCATAAACCATACGAAACATAAAAAAATTAAATATTAAACAGGTTTTTTGGTATATTTTTCCTGTATACATGAAATTAACTTAAGATAATAAAAACATGAAACCTCACTCAATTACTTTATACGTTCTGTTTAATCGGGCAATTGCTTTGTTGTTAGGAAAAAGCCCATAAATAAAACCGAAGCATCATTGTGTCCTGGTCATAACAGCGGCCATGGCGGACGTCTGCCGCGTCATGCGAACTGTAACGCCTGTCAGAATAAATTTTTATCTCATTGTAATAAATGAAATAAATAAAACAAATATAATTCAATAGTTTAAGGCTTCCAATGTAGTATCTGAAAAATATTCAATAAATATGTTAAATGGGATGGGCTCTCACCCAGGAGGCTCGGGTTCGATTCCCGGTATCGGAATGTTTTTTTTTTTTAATTATAATTTTCTCGGAATTTCTGTATTATTTAAAAGTATGTTAATCCGGCATGGTCTTATACTTAGAAGTTATTTACATACCTATTTCCAAACATATCTCGGATAATTATTCTATCAATATAAAGGGTTGGCATATAATCAGTTTGATTTTTGTTTTTACTTTCTTCATAATCCAGATCAAGATAACTTAGTTTTGCTTTAATATTGTCCACATTTTTTGTTAACGAGTTATACTCGGCTACTGATAAACCATTCATTCTTGTACCAGTACTTGCTAAATCTTTAATCCTAAAATTAATACGTATGTATAAAATCTATTTCGGTAAATAATAGTTATAAATAAAAATTAAATATAATGACAATGAGTATTTCTCTTGTAACTAACAAACATCGTGTCTTTTTTTTAAATGGAATGCTATATACATCAGTACATTTTTTTAATCCTCTTCTAGACTTTATTCATTCCTATATTATTATTGACTATCTCCCAACCACTTGAATGTAATGAATTTTTTTGTTGTCACCAAAGTCACAATTATGGGTTTTAAGAAAAACTTATGTGAATACTAATTACGAGATATCTAATTAATGTTTTTGAGTCATTTTTACTTCCTAAAAATGTACAGAGTGGCCAAAAATTATTTTTCAATTAAGGACTTTTGAAATTGAATTTTTAAATTTTTTCAAATGGAACAATTATATACATTATAAGTATATTTTTCGATAATGTGATGTAGAAATGAAAAATGAACATTTTTTTGTAAGCACTTCCCTATGGCTAATTGCAACTATTTTCTTTTTATTAAGTACAACATTCAAGAATAAACTTAAAAATAGAGGTTTCCTCAAATAATTCATTAGAAAAAATTATAATAAGTACTCCACATATTGCCCATTTTGATTGACACACGTCTCTATGCACTTTTGAAATGAGGCCATGTAGTGGGACCATTTCTTCCAATCCATTGAAGTGCGTAAATAGTATTTAACTGGTCCCTTACTACATTAATAAGTTTAATTTTGACTTTGTCAAATAGATTTATTTATTCCTTTCCAACACGGAGGGTAACTGCTATAAATATTCAAGTGTATTCGAAGGTAACAGATATTTCTACTTTAATTTGTTACATCAGGAAGCAATGGAAGGACTAATATAAATTCAGCAGTAATTTTTAAGAATAATAGACAATGAAGGACAAAAACAAGCACTTGCACGATAAAGGAAGCGATGAAACTGGACACGAGGCTGAGAAAAAAAGCCCAAATAAAATTGTTCTAGTTTTGTTATAAGATTTTATTATTTATCAGAATTTTCAATATCAATTCTAGTTTTCACCAGAATATTTTTCCCTACTGCACAGATTTCGATTTACCACTGCACATTTTGTGCCCAACTGCACGTTAGAATAATCATTAGGTTAAGAGGGCTAATCGAACCAGTGTTTGTAAGGTAATTTTTCAAAATTTATTTCTTCCATACGGTTTGGTCAAATTACACCAAATTTGGAGGATCAGTAGCTGAAAGTGTACTAGAGGGTACATGTATATCTGTTTTAATTAATTTTCGCTTTATGTAGAGGAAATTTATACTGTAAATATAAGTGAAATTTGAACGTTTTTAGCTCTTGAATTATGATATCAATCGATAAAATTCGAGGTAATATTCATACATGTCTTCTAGAATGAATCTTCATAATTATGCTCAGCAAGTTTCAAACTTTTATTCCGTACTATTTGGTTAAAATTAATTTTCTAAATAAGCATCTTTGTCACTACAAATGAAGCAAGGAAGCGTTACCTCTATCGGGAATCGCACCTCAATGAAGTCAGTGAATAAAACGTCCAGTAAAGGTGTAGTCAAGAGCAAAATTATTCAGCGGCGCATGTATAAAAACTTTCTAGAGAGTGACACAGCTATCCGAAGCTTTTTCCCGACTAGGCCCCTTAACTGTGGGAAATTTTATATACCCAACGAATATAAGAACTCGAAGTTAAATAATACCTAGGACCTCCCACCTGCGTTGCCAACTTTTTCATTGCTAAGCGCCTACGCATTCGTTATTATTGTGTAATTCCAGTGGAGAAATGGAGAATTGAGGCATTTTTGTTTTATTTCAGGTGGCCATTGGCCCGTTATTATTGCGCTTTGCTG